GTTGCACCACCACATAACCGAACATACTGCACAACACAAATTAACCTTGAGAAATCGACATTTTATCAAGTAAACCATACACTATCCGCAGCTTCTCAGGTACGCCTCGCCACTTCAGCATGCCCCAGAGAGATGTTTACCTGGAACCACTCCCCAAAATCACCGTCCAGCTTACAGTTCTCACACACAGATTACGAGAGCACATATGTACTCGGGTGAGTAAATTATTGCTTCTATTATACGACTACTGAGGCTAGACTGCTTTTGATGTACCAGGGTGGTTGCTTGCGTGAGGTGAATACAGTTGCGAAAAACTCGAAAATAATTCTATGCGTGTGCTTGCTGAAAAATCCTTTTTGAAATCGATGCCTTTATCCTCTATACCGCAATTGATAGCGGAGGGGCGAAAATGGCGGCGGCGGGAGTACGGCCAAAGGGGGAAGCCTAATCCGAGATACCATATTTGCTGTTCTTCCGTATCCTTGGTCCGTATTTTTCAAAGATGAAGGGTACCGGGCACAGAAGGACCACGCAGGCCGCGAGCACCGTCGACGCGATTCTAGGGTCCAGCTTTTCGTACATTTGGCTACCAAATAACTGAATAGGGGCATATGTCGTCAGTAAATACATTTATCTTTTTTGTTTAAATGAAACGGGTGGGTGGCCAAAAGTGTGGCATGCACAGGACATGAGGCAGCCGATGGAAAGAGGGAGGAGCCTCATTCAATCGAAATATTGGGGAAATATATTGCACGGATAACGAGTGCATATATAAAGAAAGGGAGGTGACCTCAAGTGCAGAATTGTATGGGGGAGGATAACAATGGATTGAATCGTAAAGTACTCACCGGGAATCCAGCCCCAAAGGCACTTCGTACCACGGTACTTGAGGCGAGGGCACTAGCTGCCACCAAAATGTATGCATCGATAATGTAGTTGAATAGAGAGAGGAAGAGCATGATCAGGGAAAGTCCAACCCCAAGGCCAGCGAGCACGGGGGCCCAAAGACTGATCGAGGTATAACTGGTCCATCCAAACCAGAACATGGAGATGGCGAGGATAGGTCCACCCCACTTTGCCATAGGGAGACGAGCTTCCGGTGGAGCTTTTCCGCCGTATTGTTCTGATACTTTGGCATATTTAGGAGCAAAGACGAATACGTACTGTAGATAGAAGTGGTTAGGGCACCGTTCTTGTGGTACAATAAACGTGCTGCTTACTAGAATATCCCCGATAATACCGCCTATGAATATGGGTAAGAAGGTCAGGCCAGATTCACCTGCATTCAAGTGGTGGCCTCCGACAAAGACGACGGGGTAGGCCAAAAATAGGAGATAGAGGAGCCCATAGATGAACTGTGAAAATTGGTCAGAGAACGTACAGTCTGTAATATGTCATGACGTACACTCATGTACAGTGTTATGATGACGAGCATGCTAAAAATCACTGTCAAAAGCCTGGTCGCTTTACGATTGGTCAGAATCATGACTTACCCTTCAACAAAGAAAATCTTCCAAGGACGTCCCAAAATTCTGGACATTTTCTTGCGCCAGCTAACCTCTTCAAGCTCGATAGGTGCTTTCCATCTCGGATCATTCGTCGATTCCCTCAGCTTTCTGGCCTTTTGGGCCAAGATCACGGGTCCATATGTTTCTGGGATGGTGAAGATGATCAAAAGCAAACATAACCCAGACTATCGTTCATTTACACAGAAAATATGTTGGTTGTTAGTTTGAATCAACAGATTTGGAATGAAACGTACAAAGATAGAGAGAATCCAAAATAGCCATTGCCACTTGACTCCCGCAAGTTCAATGTACCCGCCGACGATGGGCCCAAGAGCTGGTCCCTATTTTCAGGAATGTTAACCTGAGAAGTTACTCGAGGTACTTTCGGTTAATACGTACTGCAAAGGGAGAGACGGTGAAGATGGCGGTAGCAGTGCCTCGTCGATTGGCGTCCCAGCTAAACAACGTTGAGTGCATGAAACAAGTCGATTAATTGAACGAGCTCACATATCACCTGGAAATAGACTTTAGCTATCTTGTTTCATTGTCACTCGAGATAAGTGTACGCACCTAGGACTGCACCCGAGTTGGTAAGAGGGCATGCTGCAAAGCAGCCACCAAAGAAGCGGAACAACAGCAGTGCAACACCATTAGGTGCAACTGCACAAGCGATTTGAAAAGCAAAATATCCAAGGAAGCCGATGATGAACATGGGCCTCCTTCCTACACTCTCACTTGTTGGTGCCCACACGAAAGGCCCTACACAGTACCCGGCTATCAAAGAAATGGTTTCGGCATCAGCTAACTCGTCCAAGGAGCAGATGCAACCACCTACCAATAAATAGAGAAATCGACAGAGTTCCTTCTATTTGTGACAGGTGGAATTCGGACATGAGTGTACGGAGTAACCCCGATGGCGCCGACGAGGCAAATGACGCATTGAGAACCAAGAGAGAAGATGCGAATGTTCTAAGGCACGTCGATTAGACCAGTGTTTTGTACGATACATGTACACTTACAGATACCAGCGATACCGTGTAGACCAACACTACAACAGCGGAGGAAATGGTGTCAGGGCTGATCAAAAGAACACCGAGGGAGAGGGGGGAACTGGCCCCCCTTCCCCTGGCGCCGAACAAGGACTGGACTGGGGAAAGGAAAACGGGCAACATACCTTGGGATCCAGAGGGTCATTTTCATCAAAGGTGACGAGGTATGGGTCTTTTTCTTCTGCGATGGCTTCTTGTTGTAGGATGGGATCTGCAGCCAGTTCGGCAGTTGGCCATGCTTCGCTCATCGCACTATCTCTTCGACTCTGTCTTGTCACCTCTGCCGAGACCGATGGGCGACCATTATGACTGGCAGAAGGTGAATTCCCAGCACTGTTTTGCTTCTTCTTCTCGTCGTATTCGGCAATATTCAAGGTTG